GTCTCCCCATTATGACTTTAAAAGCAGAACTGAGATTGGTACAATTCTCTGAAAGGGCCATTTTGCGGCTTCCCTCATTTAAGGTGCATGGAGAGTAGTCCAGAAGAAAATGACTTAATGTGCTAATAATCTATACACACACATCTGGCAAGACCCGAGTGACCTGTTTTCCCTCTAGCAACACGGGCTCCGTGAACAGACGTCATTTAAGCTGAATGGAGATGATTCTAAGGACGAGGAGGAGTTCCAGACTGAAGGACAAAGAGGCTGGCTGGCTGAAATCTTAGACAGCGAAGGGAAGTCTCGGACAGAGCCGGCCCCTTGAACCTTCACCAGCCCTCCTCTGTCCCCCTCATCACCACGCCGTGGCCACAGCAAGGTCACATTCTCCATCCCCACCCCCCAAAACCAAGCACAGCCATATTCCCTATCTACCTGTGCACCATGTCCTTAGTTCATGTCTCAACTTGGGGGGTGGGGGTGGGAGAAGAACTATTTCTACACACGGACCAGTTTTTGTCTTATTTCTCTGTTGTCACATAAAATCTGGGATGTAGGGCAGGGGATGCTGGCGCGGTGCACCTGGAGACACAGATCGTGCACCAACTCAAGTTCCTTTCCAATACCAAAAGGGGAGAGTCTTGCATGTTCTGTGAGCCCCGTCCACCCCTTCTTTCCAGCTGGTGATTCCTGGCCTTAAAGATTCACGGCACCAGTGAATGAGTTAACCTTTAATGCTAGGTGCCCCGAAAGTCTTTCATTTTCCTTTGCTACTTGTTGTGCACGGGGTTGCACTTAAAGTGTCAGAAGCCTGGCTTTTATCTCTAGTGGTGGCGGTAGGGAATGTCTGAGAGAACTCTGCTCACCCGGGCAGGGGGGGGGCAGGCCCAGAGACTGGCCTGATTTTCAGAGGGTCCTGCCACTGAATCCCAGAGCCCTTTCTCCTCCGAGGTGCCCCGAACTTCTTCATCAGTTCAACAGGACTGCTCTTGGAGTCTTAAAGATTACCTGTGTTAAAAACAATGTTTAATTCTCTTCCTATCTGATTATGGTAATCTGGGTTCTGCTGTTTCATTTTTCAGGACTTTTCCTTTCCTTCCAGCTGAGAGATGGCGGAGCAGGCACAGTGCTTGTGGACCTCCCAAGGTCGGGCCTTCCCACCTGCAAACGCTCGGAGTCTGGTGGACTCAACGGAGGCTTCGTTAAGCCCGATGTAAACTGTGCGCTCTGAGCACTCACGGTAGTGTGAAAAGGAATCTTAACTGACGAATTTTAAATTTTCAGGGGAAAAAATGTCTGAGGTAGTTTTTTAGCCTACATTATAAGGGGTGAGGCAAAAGTAGGTTTATAGTTATTCATATGGAAAATAATAAATAATAATAATGTAAGAATAAACTCTGCATTTGTGTACTCACCACCATAAACCTACTTTTGCCCTGTTTTTCTTTCTTCCTGATCCTTCTGCCCTTTTAACAGGTCTTTCTTGTGTCCTTTAGCCTTTTCTGAGTGTGCGAACAGAACTTCCAATGGTTCCACCAGGGGGTAGACCCCAACAAGCTCTGCTGGAGCACAACCAGGTCAGGGGCCTCTCTCTCTTCCCCCTAACAACCTTCCAGCTCTTTAGTTCTGTGATTTCAAATTTGCTGGAAAAAAGGATGAAACAGGAAAATTCCTACCATCTCAGCTCAGCTCGGTGCCATGAAACCTTCATGGTTTTCCAACTACTCCCCCCTGCCCCTGCCGGGTACAGTTCATCTTGCACATTTGTAAAATAATAAAATTGCCCTGCATGAAAGACAGAGACACCTCCTGTGCTATGGCTGCAGAAAACCTAATCACAGGCCCCTTAACCCCAAGGACCAAAACTTCCTCCTTGGAAGAGAACACACAATTCTTTCCAAATCAGCCAGTCAAGTCTCACTGATTCTTTTAAATGTCTCGTGTACTTCTTTTTCTCTCACGTTAAAAAAAAAAGGCTCATCTCGTACCATCTTTATTTCCAAGGATTATAAAATGTGAGGCTCAGTACCTATAGCAAGTCAACACAGAGTGAATGGGAACAGACCTCAGTGGGACATGGGGTCACAGGGCGCCTCCCATCACATGTCACGCTGAGCGCACCATCCCTAAAGCTTCCAGCCTGGCTCTGGGCTCCAGGGGAAAGGGACCACAGGGCAATCATTCACACAGCATAACATTTCCGAGTGTGAAAAAGGTCACGAAAAATAATTAACAGGCAAGAACTGATCTCTAGCGGGCATACACAAAGACTCGCCCTTGTCAATGAGACTGTCTGCTGGACACAGGGATGCACAGTGCCCATCCAGGGATAAAATCGAGAGCCTACAGCGAAATCGCAACAGAATCACAGACATGATCAAAGAGTTGGGCTGTGCTGCTTCAGGAAAGCGTTACGTCAGCATCGCACTCCTGGATTTATTTGCCCCTACCTCTTCCCTCCAGTCTGCTGCAATTCCCCGGGGCTCTCTCCTAGGCCCTGGGCTCTTTTCTTTTCACTCCATACCCTCTGTCTAGGAAAGGTAACACTTTAAAAAAATCTTTGTCTTTAGGACATACCCCACTTCTCACTTCCAATCCTATCTTCACACATAACTGTCTTCTCGATGTCCAACTTCTCAAATGTCGAAGTCAAACCCTTGGTCCGATTTACCCCAGAGCCTCAAAGATGCTCTTCCTTCGGGCCAGAAACATGGAAGTCTTTTTCAGCATCCCCATCTCCCTGGTCCCGCAATGGCCAAGAACCACTGGTCAGGCAAGCACTTCCGTATACCCTGAATGAGTTCACTCCGCCCATCCCCGTGGCCTCCACCTACTCCAAGCTCCCACCTCCTTGCCCTGGAGAGTGGGGCCCCTGTGCTGGTTCTCCACCTGCTGATGTCCCCCCACGTTCACCTGTACATTGAGCCCACTTCCTACCCAGTTCATTTTCTACCAGGCAACCACAGCCACCTTCGTAAGATGCAACTAGGATCACATCATCCCTAGGTTAAAACCTTTCCCTGGGTCCCCACTGTTCCCGAGACTGTGTTCAAAACGCTGAACTAGACATCTGACGACCAGCCCACTTGGGCTCATTAACACCTGAAACTCCTCCCCACATCAGGGAGTTCTCACCTGGTCTGACCTTCGTAGAAAGAATGGTTTACAGGGTTCCGTTTGCCCCAGTTTGCACGCACACATGCCCACGTATGCATGAGCACAAACTCCCTTTTGCTGCCTGTCTCCTACTTATTCTTGATGCTTGGTTTAAATGGCATTTCCCTGGGGAAGCCTTCTGACCACCTACTGTAGGACCCTCAGTTGAACGTACTCAGAGTGCCTGCATCGTATTTTAATTAGTGATATTTTAATGCAGGGATGTCAAACTCATTTTCACTGGGGGCCACATCAGCCTCGTGGTAGCCTTCAAAGGACCGAAATAATTTTAGGACTGTGTAAATGTAACTACTCCTTAACCAGGGGCAGGAAGCTCTACATTCAGTCCTTTGACTGAATGAGCAAAACTCAAATAGGAGGTGGAGTTGAGAATAACAAGCAAGGAGGTGAAAGGACCACCACGTGATGCTCTTCATTTGCATCTATTTTTATCTCTTTTTATTTCTTGCCTCAAATGGAGACAAGAAAGGGGATTATGGAAAAGGGAGGCGTGGATGACACCACATAGCTTTTTCGTATGCAGTCAAGTCACTCAACGTTCGTGGACTGGACTTCCTGGTCCACGAGGGTATAAAACAAAATCACCCCAGAGGTCCCCCTGGCTCCCGCATTCTGTGAGTCTTTGCGGGACAGTGGTAGCTCAGAACTGGGGCACCAACTCTATGTTGCCTCCGCCAGCATCTGAACTGAGACACAGTATGTCTCCACATACTGGGGGTCCCCCAGTAAGTTCCTTCGTTACACGTGTTAAAAAAATGCAAAGCTGAATTGCTCAGAGCTCCCTGTGAATGTGCCGGCTCCTGGGGAGGGGAGAATTCAGCACTGCCTCCACTGCAAACGCTGCTGTGAAATAGGTTTCCTGATGGGAATGAATGCTGAAGGTAGAAATCACTCAAAGCATATAATTTAAGTATCAGTGACTACAGAGATCCGGCAAAAACAATTCAGAATAGAAATGCCTACTCTTCAGTCCTCCCCCGCAAAAAATTTTGTTCAGTTAAAATATTACTTTCCATGGAAACAAACCATGTTCCTTTCCGTTCAATATACATGGTGGAGAAAGCAAATTTACAGTTGTGAGGACGTGAAACCCAGAGTTTATTCTTGTATTATTTATTCATTACTGTATTATTATTTTCCGTACCAACGACTGTAAACCTGCTTTCGCCCCACCCTGTATGTCTGATGCGGGTATTTCCCATGCCTCCTAAGTCCTGCTCTGCTGGGCTGGTCCCGTTTTTCAGTGCATCACAGATGCTCCATAGAGACAGGCAGAATTGCACGCAGGTACACAAAATTACGTGTTCGCTCACGGGCAACTTCAGAGATCATCTGCTCGGTGGAACAGATGTTAACTTAAACCAACAGGAGCGTTTACACCACAGAATGAAAACGCAGCCAGGATCTCATGAAGCGAATTAGATATGTTTGTTACAGTGGCCAGAAGCAATGAAAGACCCACTAGTTAATGAACTAAAGAGTGATTGATGTTGATTGTAAAATTTGTCAGCATATTCGGGAAAGACCTGCATTGTGTTTGGGAAAGCTATTCCCATCCATCTGGTGGACTTGGTCCGTGTGGCTGCCCTAAGCGGAAGACTGCAGAGGACCAGTCAGCAAGAAATTCTCCTCTGTCCCTGGGTGGTCCTGCCAGGGCTCAGAAGGACTGCACATGTGTTCACTGGTACGAGCCATGCAGTACCAGACCAACTGATAAGTCTTTTCATCAGCAGTAGAGGCCCAAACAATAGTTGTACCAGCATTAAAAAAATTAAACTCAGAAATTCTCATTGACATCGAGCAACAGCTCCCAGACTACTTACGTCAGTGTCAGGTCCCTTGTCTGCACCCGGACAAGAAAATGTGACAAATTCATGGCACCTCTTGTGAACCACAAAACAGCAAACTGGCAGAGAGAAAAGAAAGTCGAAATTAGAATAAACCAGATTTAGTATACAAGCTCTGTTTTCCAAAAGGGCTACGTACTATTTATTAGCAGTCAATTTAATTTCACTACAGAATCTTAAACAACAATCAGAAGGCATTTCATTCAAGATGCAGCAACACTTGGCATTGATCGAACTCTGATAACAGAACCACACAATGCCCGCACCGACAGGACCAGGAGACCCGACCCGCAGTTCCCTTTCTTGGCAGTCGAAGGCGAGAGGGCTAGAGACTGTAAGACAGTTTCTCAAGGTATAAAAAGCAAGAATCAAAATTTAAACTACTTTGCACTGTCCTACACCAACACAATCACGCTCACATAAATGTTTATAAATGTTACACACTGTAGGTGACATAAATTATAAAGAGTTTATAACTATAAATAATGTATGAGTATCCCTAAGTGTGGGTTACAGAAGTTCCATAGCAACTTCTGGACCTGAGAAACTCAGTAAGACACAGACCCTGTATATAGAGAATAGCTCTTTGAAATAAGGAAAGGCTGGGGAATACCCTTGCACTGTCTTGTTTCTGCCTCCTTGCCATAACTCATATATAATGAGAGAGAAGAGAAGAGAAGAGAAGAGAAGAGAAGAGAAGAGAAGAGAAGAGAAGAGAAGAGAAGAGAAGAGAAGAGGAGAGAAGATAAAGGAAAGAAGGGAGGGAGGGAGGATGGGGAGGTAACGGGGTGGTGGGGAGAGAGATGGATAAAGCCCAGAGGATGGAGCTGTGGGTATGCCAAGCCAGAAAAGTAGGATAAGGGTTGTTGTTGTTGTTTTTTCCTTTTTAAATAAATAGTTACCTTTTAATGCAGTCATAATGCAATGTCACAGTGCAAGTAGGTTTTTTTAAAAAGAAAATGCAGGCTTGCCATCCAGCTGGCAGAGTTGGGCCTACAGGGGAACCACCCCAGGAACATGACAACTGAAGATCTCTGAAAAGAGCATTGTTTTAGGAGCAGAGATGAGGGGTTCCTGTTCACTGCCCGCCATGCCTGCCCATCACACACAATCAGGGTGGGAGGCAGTGGGTGTGAACCACAGAGGAGACCCGCCCAGACCCTGAGACCAGGGCCTTTCCACTGCGTTCCTGCCCAAGCAGGCGAGCTGCAGCACTGCAAGGGCGAACAACACGGCGGCGGCACGAGAGGGCACACACAACTCATCTGCCCCCTCTGCCCAGGCACAGCGCCATCTTTCACCCCCTGGGATTAGGGGAAGAAATTACTAGAGAAAAAGGCTCGCAGGAACCTCGAGGCTCCACCACCCTCATGTATTATGGATGTGGTGTTTTGAAGGGAAAATAAACATTCTGGTTCCCTACTTAATCGTTCAAATGTGCAGGGTCTTTCACCTCTTTTTTTTCCTTTTAAAAAAATCTATCTCTGCATTTATTAAGAAAACCTGTATTTATCAAATCCCTTTGGAAGGACAGTTTTTTAATCTGTCCTTTCTACCCCTACTTACCCATCCACACAATTATATGTCTCCGCAGTACTTCTATTATATACCTCAAAAAAATCATATCCACCTCATCCGACGAAGAACTAGGCCTTCAATGCACGGCATAATTTACAAGGTAGCAAAAAGCCCCCCACCAACCCTAAATACTTCTCCCCAGCCTGCTTAGAGCCCCTGGCCTTACATGAAAGTCTCAGATCCAGCAGGGCCTGAATATCCTACAAGACATGGAGAGAAGGGCTGTGTCTTCCCAGAGAGCCATTTAGACATGAGCTACATGAAGGATAAAGACCCTGCAGGCCTGTTCAAAGACTGAAGATTCAGAACAGGTGGTCTTCAAAGGCAGCTACAGACCAGACCTATGCCTGAGTGACTGACTAAGGAGAGACAGCTGGGTTAGCCCTCCCCTCACCCCAACCTCCAGCGAGGGGAGCAGGGAAGAGGAGCTTCCTGATACTGGCTGACTCCAGCATTGGCCAGAGAAAGGTTATCTCAGAAAACTAAGCAAGGGCCAGAGATTCCAAAATCACCGATGGCTGGCCTTGACCTCTGGTTTCAAGTTCCAAACTAAATTGGGTAATGCACAGTTTCTAAGACAATATGATGTGAACATTTGAGGAGTCTTGCTACTGTCACTGGAAAATGAGGGAAAGACTTAATAAAGCAAGAGAATGCGTTGGGTCGACCTGGAGATTGGACAGCACAGACTTTCCTGAGGCTGAAATTAGGAGCTATGGTTTTTACCCTTTTTATTTTGGAGTTCTAAAGGTCTTCATCTCACCATGTTATGGGGAGCAAGGGGAGCTGGGGAGCAGGTGGGGGAATAAGGTGCTACTTGTCACAGAGTACACTTTCAATAAATAGTTGCCTGGCCTTGGCGAGTGGAAAGGCAACATTAAGACAGCAGCCGCTCAGTTGGAAGACGTGTAGACATAAGTCACAGTGGATTCCTTCTGCTCCGTGCTTGGTCCCAGGGCTAGACTGTTGGCCCTTGAAGTCCTTGCTTAAGCAAGCACAGGCTGGCCAATCAGACTCTGAGATGGAGCCTCGTGTGCAAAGACTTTGGGGCCCTTCTGTTTATATAACTGAATGAGAGGTTTTAAAATAGGAAGCTGTCCTGCAGCTTAAAGTCACAAAGTAAACCTTCATTCAATTATTTCCTAAGCACAAAATCGCTTTCCTCTAATCCTCGCTATGATACGCTTGTGCTGCCCAGCAGTGATGGCTGACATGTGAAATGCACAGATCTCACTAAGCAAATGACGTGGGAAGACAAAAATAACCACAGTCTTGGCCTAATCACGCTCCTCAACGTTACGTGGCTTTAAAATGCAGACTGCTCAGTCTACTGATCCCTATCACACACTTATCTTACTTATGGAAGTAAACAAAATGGAAATTAAGGAGAGTTCTGGCCATCTGTCAAAAGCACGTTTCAGAGACAGAACAAGTGATAGTCACCTACATTTGACTCAAGAATTCATCAAAATTAAAAAAAAACAACCAGCAGGTGTGTTGTGCCATTGCTGTGCTGACATTAACGGTGGCTCTCAGGTGTGCCCACTGGTTTAAAGAAAACAATGCTCAGCAAAGGGCAGGCCAACAGCCAGACACCCCGTGAGGGAGAAACGCCACTCTCTTCTGACACTGCACCTCCCCTCCCCCACTGAATTTTATAAGAGCCCATTTAGTGATAGTGAGTTTTGGCCCATTAGACACACCTGGGTGACCTGAGACTGTTCTGTGTCAAATGTCATCATACAAATGGGTGATTCAGGACTCTTGATACTGAACGATATTTGCTGGCGTGACCTCGGGCAAACGGTAAGCCCAGAGACATTTTCCGCACTCCATCCATGCACACAGCTTCACTAGGGTGAGCCGATGCTGTATATAAAGGAGTCAGCTGCAGCTAAGATTCCTGCTCATCGATTCACATTCCTCCTTTGGACCGCCACCAACACTGGTCACTCACCCATCACACAGGCGCAGCCGTGGCCGCCACGTGAGAGAGAACTTAAAGGTTCTCTACTCCACACCCACCAGGCAGGCTGTTATTAAGAGAAAAGAAGGAAAAATACCCAGTGATGGCCAGGGCGAGGAGGAACTGGAGCCCTCGAACATCACTGTTGAGAACGCAGAACAGCATACAGTCGCTGTGGAAGAGAGTACGGCTGTATCTCAAAAAGCAAACAGAACGACCATAGGGCCCGACAATGCCCCGGAGACACCGGGTCACGCAACCTGCCTGTAAAATGGGCTGCCCCCGTGTCTGCTTGACAGGCGCCGTTCCCTGAGGGGAAGAACTGCACACTCATGCGTCACTTTCCACTTCTCTTTAAAAAAGTATTTCACCGTCAAGGCTCAACCATGAAGTGTTTAGAACTCAGGTCGCAGTCATGTCCCCCACCTGCACACCCGTGGTTTCAGTCACCTGTGTGGCCAACCACATTCTGAAAATATTAAATGAAAAATCCCCAGAATGAACCACGTGTAACTCTTAAATTGCACTGTTCCGAGTTAGTGTGCTGGAATCTCGTGCAGCCCCGCTCGGCCCCGCTCCAGCCCGCTCGGACGTAGATCATCCCTCTGTCCAGCTGTGGACACTCCCTGCCCATCAGTCACGCAGTGGCCGTCTGGGTTATCAGATCAGTTGTCGGGGAACTGCAGTGCCTGTGTTCAGGTTGCCCGTGTTTTACGTAATAATGGCCCTGAGTTCTGGCAATTCAGCTGGGCCAGCCGTAAAGTGACTCCTGTAACTGAGAAGGTACAAGTTCTTGACTTAATAAGGCATTTTATCAGCTCACATCACCACAAGAAGAAGGATGAGTACAGTACAGTAAAATATTTTGAGACCACATTCACGTAATTTTCATTAGCATATATTGTTATAATGGTTTTTCATTAATTATTATTGTTCATCTATTACTATGCCTAATGTATAAATGGAACTTTATCATAGGTATGTGTGCACAGGAAAAAGTGCATTCTATGTCTGCAGGATTCAGTACTATCCCGGGTTTTATGTATCCCTGGGGTCTAGGAACACAGCCCCTCTGAATAAATGGAGCCCACTGTCTGCATAAAAGTCCTGTTACCCAAAATTAATGGGGTGAAAGTCATTATGCAACAAGTCCTGAATCCAAGAAAGAACCTACTGAACGTTAATAGTTCAACTTTGTTTAAAACAGAAGGCTGGAGGCTGAGCTTCCGAGAGCTCCTTTTTAACATGCATAAATGGTTGCCATCATGTGAGGTGGTTTTAATTAAATTTTGCTTAGCTGGAAGGGATTAATGAAAGGTAGCGTCACATCAGAACACAATGAGAGTGAAAATCTCTAAGGCAAGTGAACTGCTTTCAGCTTCAGAGGAAAAGTAATGAAAAATGGAGCTTATATTATATTTGCATGTTAAAAGAAAATTATTGGTTTCAGATGTGTAACAGTGAATGCATTCTTCTCATGGGACACACGTTAAAGTTGTCTAAAAACAAATCGAA